AATTGTGCTTTTTCTCCCCGACGGAGGGGCCCCGGCACCCCGTCCTTCCCCCGCTGGCGCCACCCCTGATACGAAGAATATTGGGTCCCCTCTGCCCGGGATCTTATAACGCAACAAACTTGATGTTTTGCCCCACCTGACGTGTTATCTTACTGAATACTCCGTACTTGGGGATCGGATTCAACATTTATTTATTTATTTGGATATACACCTTCAGATCGGTGGCACACGTTTATACTGAACGGTTAATCCTTATAATAAAACAAATATTTAAAAAATAACATAAATATAACAATAGCATAGAAAATATAAACCAATTAACGTAATGATCTGTAGTCTACCTACAGTAAATTTATAAATTAGGAAACACATATACGGTACAACAGAATCGACCAAAAAGTTAATATACATATGAAAAGTTAAAATCAACAGATTAATGAGCTGCATTATGTACATCATTCATATTTACTCTTTCTATATTTACTTACCCCCTCCACACCCCCACACTTCCTATACTTACATATTCACGTCAGGTAGGGCAAAACATCACTCTTATGATATTTCACTGACGCAACACATCGAAATAACCTTAAAGTTAGCAAACATAAAGTACCGGTACTGTGCAACGACCGCTTTAAATAAAGATTCTTTTTCTCTTCCATTACATTGCACAAGCTCAATCTTGAGTGGTCAACAGTTGGTGTAGGAGGCTGATTGTGATTCTTAATTAAATGATGTTATTATATTGGAGTCGCAAGGGAAAATCAAAACTAAACTTGAAATCTAGTCCTATAATAATTGAAATAATAAACTATATTATAAGAATATTATATGGTATGATATGATATATAATATGATAAATGATGGTAGGCCTATATGTAATGATATGGTATATCATATAAAATTATATATGTTATGATAATGATATATATGATTTGATTATTATATGATAATTATGATATGATGTAATGTGATATAATTTTTTTAAAAATTTATTTAGGACAGTTTAGATTACAGGCTTTCCTTTTTCGAAAAACAAGAGCATTTTATAAAGCAGTTAAAATACCTGTTACAATGATACATAATCGTATTAATCAATCTGGAGTTGCTCCTAATAACTTTATAGAACAATGCATTTAGCGAGCGGAAGTGTAATATTTTCGGAAAACTGTCATTTTGATCTCACCTCAACAGTTCGGCCATTTTGTGGATCTGTAATGTTCGTGTAATGTCATAGTGATCGTGGAATAACAATTACGAAAACTTAATAATTATTCTAAAGCCGGGCACTCACTGCGTCGGACGACGACGGCTCCAACTCCGCTCACTTTGAGCTCAAGACGACGCGACGCCGTCTGCTGATCGTAATTAAAAACTATTCGTCGTTGCGTGCGCGTCGTGTCGTTGTGTTCTACAAAGAATCGCGTCGGCCGATGACCGTCGGGCGCCGTGAGTGGCTGGCTTAATAGGCCGATAATTATCCAGCCAACAATTTTATAATAACGTTGTAGTTTGGTTTACAAACTGTTTATATATTTTTAACGTCTTTTCAGATCAAATGATGTTGCTAGTTGTAATAACGTCAATTTCTAAAATACCATAACCACAATGTTCACAACTTTCGCGAATGTTAGGCCTATAATACTATTGTGTTTCTGGGTATGCCCATACTACAATAATCAGTTATTAACGGTATCTTCTAATCCACTCAGACAGAGAGATGAGAGAGTGAGGTTTCCATTTATTATTTACATTATGGACTTAGAAGAACACATGAGTAAAATCCAGCGTCTTCTGACGCAAATGCTGTTATTTGAAGTTAGGACCTCTAACATCTTCTATCGAATACCTGTTCCACTTAGTAGATTCACTGGGTAATAATACAATATAACCTTCGCTGATTTTAGTATTACTACTGTTATGAAACCAAACAACCGACAAAGTACCAAAATAGTTGGGATCACAATCCAGCTGCACTGTGTCACCGACATTGGCTGTTGTGTTAACTGGTCCTTCTGCAATTACAGGTACTTGGAATTTTGCGAATTCGACATGTTTCATAATGACACCAAAAGTACAAAAAATATCTTAAATATCAACATAGCCATCACATTTCTACATTTAAAACACTTCGCTATATAGAAAGTAATCCTAGAAATGCATTAGCAAGGTTTGTGGTAAGTAACACCGGAAGCAGAGCTCTAAACAAGTTTCCTGGATTCAGTGGTCGATTGCAGTCATGATCATGTAAAAAAAATTTGAATGATGAAATTAGGCTTACAGTACAAGTTTGCACAGTGATTTTAGGTTTTTTTTAACTACTTGACTGTGATTTTTTTGGGGGACTGGGGGAGGGGCGTAGATACGCCACTGCGCCCGGGCTTACTGGACCCTCGGTGGGGTTTATTGTACCTACATGAGGTAATTATTGGAGTGTGGCGGCAGTCACGGAGTACGGTATCATACCACACAGCCTATGATGTTAAACGGAAACGATTTCGTTTTGTGAGGGTTGTCCATAGCTACCAACCTGAGGGATTTGAAATGCGTGACTACACCAGTTGCCGGGGGGGGGGCAACAGGACCACCGCCGGGGTCCAGGGGCGGATCCCCGGTGGGGTCAGAGTTTCAGTCACATTATTAACAGTTGACTGTGGCAATGAACGCGCAAGACCGCACGCGCTTCCTAGATTCTACCTACTAAGTGCTTGGTTGGCAAGTGGGTTGTTTTGGTCGAGAAAGAGAGATTTTTTTTGTCGGTGAATTGATTCTTGAATGATCAGATAACGAAAGCTCTCTAATGACTCAAGTTACTCCATGACCGTTTTTATATCGTTAATAAAACAAATTTTCTCTCATTTTAAATACATTTTCCACTGAATTCATGATAATTCGTTATCACGCATAGACTTCTTCTAAATGCGTGACAAATTTATTATCAAAATGCGTGTTTCATTCAAAATCACTTTGAAATGCGGGACATTTCCCGCGCGATGCGAGACGGTTGGTAACTATGGTGATCAATATATTTTCAGTTTTTATAGTTGATTACATATTAATTTGTCTCTCACCGTGGAGCTTTTAAATGAATTTATAAAAACGTGCATCATTGTAGGCCTGTTCTAATCGATACGGGCTTGCCGATCTTTGAAATTTGAAAACTTCGTCAGGGTGCTACTGTTCAGTGTCGGGGACGCGCATTTTTTCGCAAAGACATAATGAAGCATCACTCTCAACCGGTGGCGGAATGAATAGGCCTACTGTTGTTAACTTAGAAAAAGATTTATTTTTATAATACATTGAAATCAAAAACACTGAAAAATGGTGCTTACCATAACTGGGGTGAGAGTAGGCCTACCAACTCTTAACCACTAGACCACATGAGATATTGCTAATGATATTGTTTTAATTGTAAATATTTAATCTCATCTTCTAATTTTGCTAAATATTTACCACATTACAGTAGATTGCTAATGTGCACAGTGTTAATTGTAAATATTTTATTTCATTTTCAAACTTTCGAAATGTTCATTAGGTAGGCCTATATTTGCCCCATCGTCGACAGTGATCTTAAAAAGATGTTTCAATGGCTTACGAAAAAAGGTTTTAGGACAATGGCTATTTGAAGCTATTTGTATTATACTATAATCTGCTAATCAGTTTGTTTCCAAATTCTTCCCTACATTTTTAAGCATAACGGATGTGTCAATTCATTTGCGAGAATTGTTTTTGTGGTCTCAATGTTGAAGTATAATACTACACCGCAGTAGGCCTATTGCAGTCTGATCCGAACGAGTGGGCCTTCAACTCATGACAATGAGTAAAGGAAAACTATAATTATAGGGCCGCCCATAAATACCATCCTCATCGTTAGCCAATCACATCGTTTCACTTGGAAAGCGAAGCACAAATACAACAACGATCATATTTCCGGGTACCGTTTTCTAAATCTAGTGTGTATTTTTCCATAAAGGGGATGTGAGTTTCTTCAAACAAGTTAATTTGGAAATTTGTGATTGTGTTCTGATAATAATTTAAATTCTGTTTTATTCGCCAATAATCACAATGATATCGACTGCAGGCGTACTTGTGTTATTCTTTGATGTTGCCGCGTGTATAGAAGGGTCCTTCTACGAAAAACCAATGAATGCCACATTTTCTACAGGTGGGACGGCGAGTTTGAAATGTGACGCCGACTATGCACATCGAGTCGTGTGGTACCATAATAGTAGTGCTACTAAAATCAGTGACAATTGGGGCATTTTGCTGTCAGACGGTGGAGGCAAGGGAGACAGATACAGTGTCTGCTGCGATTCGACTGTCGATCGCACATATACATTGGAGATAACAGACTTTCAGCTAATTGATGCTGGTCTGTACTCATGCATGATACTTCAAGAACATAACGACATATTTAAGTCTGCTTCGGCCGTTCTGTCTATTGACCCTCCTGGCGAAATGACACCACCTGATTATACATCCCCGTCATGTGATATAATTCGCATATACAGAAATACAAATGAACTACTTGACGTTGGTGATGATATTGTATTTAGATGTCAGAGTCAAGGGGGTAATCCCCTTCCCCAACTAACGGTTATTGATGGCGAAGAAGTTATTGATATCGAGACGGTACTCGACGGTGAGACTCAAATTGTGAATTATAGCGTGTCACTAAATACGTCACACATCAACTCAAACTTTACGTGTAAGTTGGTGAGTGCAGCTTTAGGTACACCAAGATACTGTTCTTTGAAACCACTGATACTTGGAGTTGTTATCATGCCGCCGCAAATCACTGCGGTAGAGGGCGCTGATATAGTTTTTGATTGTTATTCCAAAGGTGCTAAAAGCCCAGAGTTTACTTGGCAATGGCGTTTGAACAATTCTGTAAGTAGTCTTAACCGTAGTGAAGAAATAATTTCCCATTCGCATTCTAGAATTACAATTAAAAATGTATCACCGGCACTTAATGGGTGCCAGCTTTTCTGTACTGTCGATGACCTAGGATCCCAAGCCGCTGACAGTGTTATTTTAAATATTCAGTTAAAGACGTCGCCAACCGCGCATACCTCGACACGAATTACAACACGATCAAGTAGTAGCCCTATATCGATTGTTATTGGTACAGTTTTAGGACTACTCGTCGTGATAGGTCTAATTATAGGAATAGTTTTGTTTAAACATAAGCGGAAATCATGTGAGAAGATCGCCAATAACAATAAGCCTAACCCGTGTGAAACGGAAATTCCAGAAATGACCCAGTGCGTTTCAATTTCCAATGATAAACAAGAAATTTTATCTACAGGGGACCCCGGAGAAGCTGATTATGGAAAGGATTTGAATGGAGTTAGTACACATGAACCAGACACGCACGTTTATAGTAATTACACATCTGAATCGTTACCGGACGAAACATGCTATCAGAATGTACAAGCGTCATCAAATATAACTCACGAGGAAAACAATATAGAAAATGAAAACAACGTCGAAAGTTTGAATTACGCCGAATTGGATCTGGAGGCGTCAGCATCAGGTATCCATGACAAGGAACCTCGCACTGTTTATTCACATGTAATCCTGAATTGAACATTGTGTCGTTCAATTGAGAACATTATAAATCAATCAATATTCTTTTATTAGGGAAGTTTCGTCACTTTACGAAAATACTAACCAATACTGTTTGATCCGCTTATTTTTAGCCAATCCCCATCTAACCTGTATCTGTATAACATACAGGGCGAGGGTGTTAACGACAATTTTATATAGGCCTACTTTATCTAATTCTCATCTACATCTGTTTAGTACAGGGATTACGTCATCAAATTTATCATTCTTAGCCAATTGCCAGGTATCTTCATCCTCAGTACAAGACTTTTTAAGGCAACGCAGGTCTATGACCCACATCATACAATACAAAAATAAATTTACAGTGTAATTACAAATAGGGCCTATCATTATTTTTCTTTAAAAAGATCATGAGATATATTTCATATATCATCATCATCAAAATCATCATCATCATTATCATCATCATTATCATCACCATCGTCGTCAATGCCAGATGCTCCGAAACCAACTTTACACAATAGTTGTTTAAAATTGATAAACCCACTAGGCCTATTCTTCGTTCGTTTTTCCTGGAAGAAATGACATTTACATAATATAATACGGTAATTCGATACAATTCATTTGACCAGTTCCCTGATTTGATTTAATCTCAGCCAATAGCTAAAAAGATTTATATAATAGGCCTAATGATTGTACTTTTGATAGCTAGGGAATCTCCCACGATATCTACTGTTATATTCGCCACTGAGTTTCCAGAATATCCATTTTATATCTCAATGGAATATACAGATTGTTTTAGCAGAATTTTTTCAATAATACAAACATCATCTACTATTCCACTCCCATAAATTACAATCGCGAGATAGTATCAAAACATAGTTCCATATGTTAACGGTAACAAAGAGAAATTCTTTTGAAAGTGAACATCGCTTTATTAGACAGCTAACAATTGTTTTCTGTAGCTTTAATTCATTTTCAAATTAAACTAAAGACGAACTTTAGGCACTTGAAAGAGTTTACATATCTTGATTGTTTTTAAATGCTTTAAATTTAAGGTAGCTTCTTGTTTGAATATAACATTCATATCTTAACATCACCATTACACCCCATTTTACAGAAGTAGTCGAAGTGCTTTAAACTCTGCAGTCTATTAACT